TCTTATTACTCGCGCGACGATATGTCTTTTGGCAAAAACATTACTGAGTACGCTTAGGATCATTTATTGTTTTACTCATAAATTTTTTTAGCATATTTTTCAAGGTACTTCGAGATACGTTAATATTTCTATGGAATTTATAAAAAAACAATGAGAAAATCTTAATTCATTTTCAGGAGCACAAACTGCGATTTTCGTCATCTTTAATTTGTTATAACTCACAACAATGTTAACTGATTTCGATACAATTTTCAGTATGCATATAAGCTACCGAGATATACGAAAGGCATTTTTTAAATTTACAGGCTCAGTCAAAAAAGTTAAAAAACAAAAGTTTCTAATTTTTTTCATTCCAAGTAACAACAAAATTTAAAAAAAGCATTTCGATCATCGTCTGTTAGACTAGTTCTGCTATCATTTTTTTTTAAATTCAAGTCACTTAGTACAGTTTTGAGAAAGTTATTGCCTTTTTAAAAGATGTATGAACACTTTTGTGGGCAGTGGCCTCCGTATGTCAAGGTTATGTCAAGGTTATGTCACCGTTCCGAAGTTACGCAAATTTCCTCTGTTGACACAAATTTGACATCAACGAGTTATTCAATTTGTCGTTGATTTCAGTTGGTTTCATATTTCTTATTATTGTCATAACTTCACGACAGAACGCTTACAGACTTCTTGTTATGTCAAGGTTATGTCAAGGTTATGTCAAGGTTATGTCAAGGTCATGTCAATTGTAAATGTTAATATTATGTTAATAATATTTATGTTAATTGTAAAACGCACGCCCGAGACGTATACCGAAATATTCGGTACACCCTGTATATCGCGATTTTAGGCCAAGAAAAATTGGTGCGTGGGAAATCCGGTACGCGACGATCGAGATGAAACATAACCTCTTTTCCCGTCTGTGAGGGGATATTGTAGATGGCGCGAACGGAAAAATCGCGGAGAATCCGGCGAATAAAGCGGAAGTTCGTCTGCAAATGGAATTAATGAAAATTTTTTCCCGGTAGTCCATACCCGCATAAAATTTCAGTGGCGTCGGTTCCGGTTATGTCAAAGTTATGTCAAGGTCATGTCAATTGTAAATGTTAATATTATGTTAATAATATTTATGTTAATTGTAAAACGCACGCCCGAGACGTATACTGAAATATTCGGTACACCCTGTATATCGCGATTTTAGGCCAAGAAAAATTGGTGCGTGGGAAATCCGGTACGCGACGATCGAGATGAAACATAACCTCTTTTCCCGTCTGCGAGGGGATATTGTAGATGGCGCGAACGGAAAAATCGCGGAGAATCCGGCGGATAAAGCGGAAGTTCGTCTGCAAATGGAATTAATGAAAATTTTTTCCCGGTAGTCCATACCCGCATAAAATTTCAGTGGCGTCAGTTCCGGTTATGTCAAGGTTATGTCAAGGTTATGTCAATTGTAAACGTTAATATTATGTTAATAATATTTATGTTAATTGTAAAACGCACGCCCGAGACGTATACCGAAATATTCGGTACACCCTGTATATCGTGATTTTAGGCCAAGAAAAATTGGTGCGTGGGAAATCCGGTACGCGACGATCGAGATGAAACATAACCTCTTTTCCCGTCTGCGAAGGGATATTGTAGATGGCGCGAACGGAAAAATCGCGGAGAATCCGGCGGATAAAGCGGAAGTTCGTCTGCAAATGGAATTAATGAAAATTTTTTCCCGGTAGTCCATACCCGCATAAAATTTCAGTGGCGTCGGTTCCGGTTATGTCAAGGTTATGTCAAGGTTATGTCAATTGTAAATGTTAATATTATGTTAATAATATTTATGTTAATTGTAAAACGCACGGCCGAGACGTATACCGAAATATTCGGTACACCCTGTATATCGCGATTTTAGGCCAAGAAAAATTGGTGCGTGGGAAATCCGGTACGCGACGATCGAGATGAAACATAACCTCTTTTCCCGTCTGCGAAGGGATATTGTAGATGGCGCGAACGGAAAAATCGCGGAGAATCCGGCGGATAAAGCGGAAGTTCGTCTGCAAATGGAATTAATGAAAATTTTTTCCCGGTAGTCCATACCCGCATAAAATTTCAGTGGCGTCGGTTCCGGTTGTATTCGCTGGTTTCATTCTCTTCGGCTCTTGCGTTTTCTCCGACAAGTTACTGACACCGTGCTGCAGCTACCACGCCCGCTACACCCGAGAATTGTACACGCAACGACATTGCAGCCCATGCATGTATGCAGCCTGCACGCGAAAACGCCCCCGAGCAGCAGCTTAGAAAAAGCACGAGCAGCCGTTGCTTTTATTTCCGCCAGGTTTTATCTCGCGTTGTCTTACTTATTCGTCGGTATCGTCGCGTCTCTGTCCGTTGGAACGTGTCGCTTTCCTCTTTTTTCGCAGACCACTGCTACCGTATGAAACCATAATAACGCGTTTTCTCACCTAAACTCGCCGAAAAAGGTATCCACAGCTGGCGCTGCTCTGGGATCTAATAGTTTCAGGAACCTGTCCAACTCGAACATCTACGCGAATTATTTTACCAAATACATAGTTTCATTTCGCAATCAGGCAAATACTGCAAGCACTAGTATCGAACTTCCACGAAGCAATTTATTTAACCAGTTGGCTGTTGCAAGCTCTTTGAAGGACAGGCTACTGCAATTATATTGTACATGCTTGATTTTCTTTATATTTTGCTTGAATACGATACTTTTATCAAATGTACAATTTAATGAAGAATATCGAAGTATAGTACATATATTTTTTTATCAGTTAGCTGTTTTTCACGAATATAATCGTCGAGAAGATACGTCAACATTTTACGTCGTTATCAGTATTTTCTCTAAAACAATTAACTGGTGAATGACGATATTAGATTTATAGAGGATTTTGGTAAAAAAGGAAAACAGAAAATAATGAAATATGGCGAGGAAATAATAAATTATGGCAAACGAATACTCTGTATACAGAGTGAGCCACCAAATGTTTGTACCTCAAATATCTTTGTAGTTTTTAAGATACGTGAAATAACTAAAACATAACACGATGCCATAAAAATAATTGTTGTTAATTAATAATTCCTTTAATTAGGAATTCAGTGGTTATAATTATTCTAGGTCATTCAACGTCACGGACATTGAAAACGTATAAGACTTAAAATATGAAAACAGAATAATTGTTTGAAATGATGGCTCTGAGGGAATATTGAACTGTGACAAATATATCCGTGGTGACATTCGCGCATGCTATAATGATATGCTGATGCATGCCTTCAAGTGTCCTCGCGGCTCGTTTTTATAGTTGTCAACAACTCGTGAGAAGCAAGACAAAAAAGCAGCGGCCATTATACTGCTTTTTAAAAATTTGATTTAATATTAATTAAAATATGAATACACAATAATGCTGGAATAACTTTTTATTTATAATCTTTTATACGTAAAAATTCTTTTAATATATTGATCAGATTCTTTCAATTAAAATGCGACCAAACACGACATGCTTAAGACCATATTTATTCATTATACGTAGCAAGTAACTTATTTTATTTCATTACACAAATTGTAATTATATCAAAAAATACATTAGAAAAATATGATATTAAAGGCAACGTCAAAGAAAGTATGTCTGTCGTTCAAAAGAAAATATCAGTGAAGTTATGCTATTCGGAGCTACGTTCGACGGAAATTTGGAAGTGACATACCACAATTCAAAGGCATTTCCGAGGCTACATGCCACGATTCGAAGGCAATTCCGAGACCACATGCCATGATTCGAAGGCAATTCGGAGGACACGTGACTCGATTCGAGGAGAACTTGACCATCGACGGTCGTTGCTATGGGTCACATACCTTGTAGCTCTGCGGTTCTATTTACCAGACTAACACCCAAACGGACCATTTTGTGTCATCTTCCCGGAATTTCAGTCGAAGGAGCTGCGTCACACGCTTGACCGACTCCGTCGAACCATAGCATCGACGGAGCAATAAATCACATAGACTTAGGGCTAACACAGGGAAATTCACAGCGACCCGAAATTTGGCATTTCAGAGAAAATTTACTGTATCCGAAATTCATAACACCAAGAAGATTAAAAGCAATATATATATGCAGACAATTTTAATTTTGCACAAAGATCTATTAAATACGAATGCAGTGTACAATGATAGAATAACAATGAACAGTAAATTCTCCCTAATTGACCCTCAACATGGAAAGAAAAATTTCGGAAGAGACAATTTGGGAAGAGGAAGTACGATTATTCGAGCGTTGCGCCTCGTTTTTACAGTTGTTGACAATCGGAAACTATAAAAACGAGACGCAAGGCACAAATATTGTCTCGACTTTTCAAATTGTCAATTTATGTGTAGAAACGGAGGATCGATTCGGAAGAATTTACTGTAATCGCATCTCCTCTTCCCAGAAACGTCCATTTTTGTTTCCAAGCTGAGCGTTAATTAGGGAGGATTTACTGTAAATATAGAAAGACCATTTCAACGAAACGTTCAAATATGCAGAGCCGTGGAAACGATCCTTCATTTGGAATTTACTTTTGCGTGTCGAGTTAGTCGCACTTGTGCGATTCATTACCGGGCATCCGGAGGGAGCGTTCCCCGGGCAATCTCGTCGGCATAACAGCCACTTTGAACCGCGGTGCTCCATCGAACAGTGACTCCGAGGAATTTAAAACGAGCCCGAAATGGATGGGACAGCCTTCCGGGTAGCTCGGGTCTCATCCAGGATCGTTCGTCCCGTAACCTCATTATCCCCTGGCCTGCTTTCAGGAGCGACGACGACAGGTCGGCCGCCACCGTCGTCGTCGTCGTCGTCTCCTAATCCGTCCGAAGCCGGTCGTTATGGTGTCAACGTCAGGGGGGCTTCCCCAGTCGCATTAGAGTAGGGGAAACGGGTGGGAGAGGAGGAGATATATATATTCAGACCGGACGCGATGGTTTGCGCAGCGCATTTTAATGAACTCACCACCGTCCCATCTTGTTTTCCAGTAGCGTGAGTCCCTGCTGCAGGAGGGAGACACGAAGCTCCCGCAGCGCAGGGGTCGCAGGCCGTTGCAGGGGGCTGCAGGGTGCAGCAGGGCGGCGGTGGCGACGGCAGCAAGGGGGGTAGTGACGGTGGGGCGAACCGGAACCGGAAATGGCTGCGAGGTGGCTCCTGCTGGCGCTCCTCGCCGCCCACGCCGCGGCTCTTCCTGATATCATTAGGATAGGTGAGTATCTTTTCCAGTCTCCGTTCTCCGGTCTAAAAGGCTCGGCCTTTCTCCCTCTTTCTTTCAACCCGGTCCCGACGTCCGCTTCTTTCTATCCATCGTTCTTCGGTTGCGCCGGATGTCGCCCTTACAATGAAATCGTAATCGATACGTCTTCCGCGGTCGAAAATCTCGAGGGCTCCGCGGCGAAACCGCGATGATAGCCTCGCTAATGATTACGAGGCCGATGGAATTCACGAGGTTGGCGGTTCTTAAAACCGGTTCTCTATTGGTACTGGTTAAAACCGGCGCGTTCGAGGAATTTGGAAATGAGCTTTTAGAGCGTTAAGTGCTCGATTTAGGATAGAAAGAAATTAGGAAAAGGAAACTCTTTTACAACAACGACAGATATTTTTAGTAAACTGCGTGAACATCTATTTTACATAATTTGTTAAACTGAGCAATGATACAACGAGAAGCTGATCATTTAAGCTATTATTCTGTTTCTTTCGTTAAGTATGAAATTGCCTTGTATGAAATTACATCTGCAACGTTGATGTTTCTCGAAATGCCGCGTCCGATTGCATAGAGCACTTGCAAGTAGTAACAGTTGCGCACAGTCAGCCAAGTAGAACCGCGAAGCTGTCATCCATTCTTGGAATGCTAGGTCCGCAGATAACGACCTACGCACGAGCATTGTGTCAACAAGAGACGCCTCGTTCGGCTCGCGAGTAAATAATGGCTTCTATTTGCAGTTTAACACCGGTGTTCGGTAACATTCTAACCACAGGAATAAACGATCTAGTGCCCCGTGTGTCACTGCGAGTGGACACTTCAACGAAAGGAATGCCACGGTCGCTTTGCTTTCAATGCAACATCCCGATAACTAGGAGAGATTTTTCACGTGCGGCAATATTTCAATCATCTGCTCGAGCACGCGCAAATGCTGTGATCGAAACGGCCGATCTATGGAAAGTGGCCAATACTGTGAATAGAAATAACTCTGCATAAAAATGATCCATTAGATGGACGATTATGTATTTCAGGGCCACTTGTGTAATAAATGTACTTTTTTTAGTAGAGCGAAGTGTGGAGCTATTGAAAATACCATACTGTTCCATGAACTTCGCGCTATGTATGCATGATAATAATATACAGTAGTTGACTTGACGAATGCTGCAATCAAATATTCAATAGAGCATAAATGTGGAGGACGAGGAAACTCCATTTTCTGATTCCATCATTACCGATAACCATGAATTCGTTCGATAACATTACCACAATTTCATGTAACTACATGTAGAAGGTTTAGTAAAAATATTGGAGACGACGTATGTATAATTGTTTTATTGGATGAATTGCATTCATTTTGTTAATGCATTTTGAAAACTACTTCTTGCATTTATTTTGAAAGTTTACAAGTCTGAAATTACATTACATTCGCTATATTTCAATTGGTTTTTGCAATGTTATATAAGCATTCGCTGAAGAAATATTAATTATTTATGAAATTAAACATTCGAAGATAATTTACTTCATCTAATAGAAGAGAGAATAATAACTTTGTGTTTTCAGTAATTCATTTCAACTTTTTTATGGATTTAATTTTTTTTTAACTTCAGGAAGCAAAAAAAAGTTTAAAAATTTATATATAAAGACAAATTTATTTTATATCATTTTTCAAAATTTCACTGAAAAATATATGATTTTTAACAAGTTACGTTGTTTTTGTATAGACCACATAGTGTCAAAAAATGCCGGCATTTTGTGAATGACGGTGCAGAAAATTACCGGATGAATATGTGTTAACACATAAAACAAAAGAAAGATTTGTATAAAACCAAATATTGTGGCAATCGACGGTTTTAATTAAATTACAAAAAGAGTCAAGATGAGCAAACCGCATCGAACTAAATGCCGTTTCTGTACCAAAAAAAAAACAAGAAAAACTACAGCTCGATCGTGGCATTATTGCACTCCGTACTATATGCAAGTGTTTAAAACGTTAATTATCTATATGTTTTTATAATTATCTCTATCTCTCGTACACCATATCTGCCTCTCATATACGCAACAACGTTTATCGCCTTTGATTAACGCTCGAATAATTCTTTTAACCATCTCTCACAGTTTTAATTGAATATTCCTTGCCGGGGGCAGTATTTCCAATGCCGTAATTGCCCTATAAAACTTCTTTCCTGTTAGTTACTAAAGAACCCTCTCCAGGAACTGATAACTTGCTTTTCCTCATTTTTGTCCTATCGAACGTTCCGCATGCTACATTGCGTCCGGACGAAAATTTTCACGCATCGATGGCGCATGCCTCTTAATGCATTCCGGAGAATACTGTGTAGGGTAAGTATGGGAATTACTGCGGACGCCCCAAATACCGCGGTATTTTATAAAAGTAATAAAATTTATATAACTCCTCATAGTATGTAAAGTTTTAAAAATGAATCTCATCATTTTTTATATGTTTAACACTGATAATTGATGACATTCAAGCAACAGTAATCCCAGTTTTAATTCATTTATTGACTTTTGATAGTCGGAAGCTTATGAAAACCTTGAGTTTTATGAAATATTCATAACGGCAGCAGTGAACGCTGATTCGAAAGTCATTTATATTTTGGTAATTAATAGTAAAGTATTTATTTTAGCGTTATTACTTTGACGAAAGATTGACGCGCGCTGTCACCATCATCTATCCTCAAATATTATTTACCAGCACAGTATACGGCGCATAATTTTGTATTATGTGTGTATGTTACAGTGAAACACCGAAATCTGGAGAATATCGACTTTCACCGGTGAATGTAACATTCACATAGTCGCTTGGTGTATGTCCGAAATATTTGCTAAATACCCTTATTTCTGACTTACACCGGTAAATGTTGACATTCACCATGCACTAATGGCGAATGTTCAACATATGTTGGAGATTTATATTTTCTTCTCCGTAATTCAGTCGCTGTAAAACGCCACAAGGGTGACGTAACTTTTTCGTCTCTCTTTCTGAAAGGAATGACCAAGAATTTAAAATACACGGTACATTCTACATGAGAAAAGAAAATAATAGTAATAAAAAAATTACTTACTTATGCGATTCAAATCTTATTTATTGCAACAACTTAAACTATTATGACACTTTGAATTGCACAAGAGTCCCTTGCTTTTACAACTGCATTTATTTGTGGAACACTTCCTTTTGCAATGACAGGTTTTGGACCTCCACCAGAGCATATCTGTGATTGTCGACACACACCGGAGAGGGTCCGAATGTACAACAATGTAATGAAATATTCGATCTTTCACCGACGGATTTGGTATCTGTTGACATTCACCGGCGAAAGTCGACATTCTCCAATTTCGATCATTCACGGTAACATGTACATTAGTACGTTGCTTTACCGAACTGCATACCTTAACTCTTTGGGGCACCGGATTTCAGAAAATAAAATAGACCCATGTTGCACAAAAATTTTATTACGTTTTAAATTAAACAAAATTAGTATATTTTTATTAACCAAAGAATCGCTCAATATAAAAACATAAAAAAAAATAATAATTCAATTCAATTTGTTGTTGTAAGGTGGGACTCAATTAGTCCCACCGTGTCACGTGAGGTGCAATGCAAATGTAGCTATTGCAATATTTCTAGGTGGATCTATAAATGTCCCACCACGCGTTACCGTGCATCAAAAAGATGGGACATTTTTAATTCCACCGTGCTCCAAGGAATTAACCTGTACAGAGCAGTTCTCGATGAGCCGGTGCGAACACGCTTCATCGTAGAGTACCTGTACCTAATTTGTAAAGTGCTATGATGAGAATGCTTTGATCCTAGGACTTATAGCTGCGTGTGTACATTTAAAAGAAAATGGGTTATGTCAACCTTGACAAGCAGTTATCGAAATGTCCGCAGTATTTGGCTCGCAGTAATAGATACATGACCACGGTAATATATGCACACGTATGGTTTCTTCACATTACACTTTTTAATGAAATTTGTGCTTTCGAAGATCCAATATTTTGAGAAAAATAAATATTCAAGTTACAGAATAACAGGTATAGCTCAAGTTGCCAATTTTTATTGGCATAAAAGGTCTTATTTTCTCTGTCAGAGTTCGCCTTCATTGAAAAACCGTAGTAATATCTACACTTACCTTATCGAGTCCGTAGAAAGAGGCGCAGTGGTCCCGTATCAATCGTGAACACTTTTCCCACGGTTTTATGCCGCGCCGAAATTGAAGTCCGCGTCGTCCGGCGCAGTCTTGTTCCGCGCGATTTGCCACGATTCGCAGCAAATTTCCCGCGTTCGTAATTAAAATGGCGTTTCGTGTACAACATTATCCGGATATACGGACGACGACGCGACGTATCGAAACGGTATCAATTTACCGTTTTTGTTTGGCCGTCGAGAGTCGTCGAGAGAACGACCGAGCGGCGCGAAATAATTCATTAAAAATCAATGAATATTCAAGCCCCATTAATTCGGCGAAACGACGGGGTTGGTACAGAGAAAAAAAAGCGTAGGGCGAGGAAGGAAAGGGGCGCGTGCGCGTTACGGAGTCGATCGACCGATGAAATAAAGTTAAGAGCGCGAGGTTATCGTGTATGTGACGTTTTTACGCGCCGAATGATAACATCACCGGGCATTTTATGCCGGACCGTTATCCGAGGAGGCTGCGATTAACTGTTTTCCACAGAGGGATTCTTTGTTTTCTGCCACCATTTTTATGGCCTATTAAATCGCTGTGTCTTAGAGAATTAACTGGCCCCGGCAGAAGTTACTGGGATACCTTTATGGCGATTCTAATATCCTCAGGACACTCCTCGAGTTCCTCGAGTTCATTCGAAACGTAGATTCATTTTATATAGTCTCCTAGAAATTAGGTGTACAGAGAAAATGCATTTGCCAGAACGTTCTGCCTCTACAACCGAGATAGTGATGAGAGAAACAACGTGGAGGCTACAGTTAGATTAACCCGAGAAAGATAACCTACGTCGCAGAGGCGCCT